GACCCAGCAGGGCTCTTCTGAGGTTCTTGGCTGGGTCCCAATGGTTAGTGAAGCTGGTGCAAGAGTCAGCAATACATGGTTCAGGTGGGAATCCAAGGTGGGAAAGGCAAATTTGGGAGTGAAGGAAGGCTCATGGATGTGTAACCCACTATGGGAACATCAGAAGAGCCCTGCTGGATTAGACCAGGGAGGGTCCATCTGGTCCAGCACCGTGACCCACACGGTGGCCAACCAGTTCCTCTGGACGGCCGACAAGCAGGGCATGGGGGCCGAGGCCTTCCCCTGATGTTGCCTCCTGGCGCCAGTATTCAGAGGCTGACTGCTTCTGACCCTGGAGGTTCCCTTTAGTCACCATGGCCTGCGGCCGCCACCACAAAAGCGCCAGGTTTGCCTGGGCTATGCCGGGCAGTGGCCATCCCATAATGCCCCAGTGGTGTCAAAAAAGCCACCGTATCTCCATGCCAAAAGCTGGGGGAGACGTCCGGAGCCCCTCCTAGGAAATCCCTCCCCTTCCCTCAGGGGGGAAACTCCGCCCTCCCCCACCCCAAGGTCACCCCTCCCCCTTCTGCCCCGTTGCCTGGCAACCCCTCACCAGGCCTCTCTGCAGAAACGGGCCTCCCTCCCTTCCAGGCCAGGCCTCCCTGCACAGAGGGAAACTGCTCTAACTTTAATTTTTAAAAATTTCAGACAAAACCTTTCTTTAAGGCTTACACATTCTTTTTTTCAAAATGAAGCCTTTTGCTACTGTAAAATGACATTTGTAGCACATCAAACATTATTTGGCTGGGGACAAATACCTTATTTTTTGTTTGTGTGCTTAAACCGGAACTGGAAGGGAACAGGCCTTAGTGGCGTTTCTGGGCTGCTTCTCTTCTGGCCTTTGTCTTTTTCTTTCCATGGCTGATCCAAATTCCTCCTCCTTAGCTGAGGCAGTAAAACAAGTAGCGCAGCAACAGCACTCCCAGGCCTCTGAGGTAGAGAAAAGCAAGGCCATTCTTGGACAGCTGCAGGTAATTGGACTTTGTAAGCAGTGAAGTGCCTCCGTTTGTGGATGACACAAAGTTGTCCAGGGTGGGGAGAACCAGGGAGGATTGTGAGGCACTCCAAAGAGATCTGTCAAGGATGGGCGAGTGGGCGTCAACATGGCAGATGGGGTTCAACCAGGGCAAGTGCAAAGAGATGCACATTGGAGCCAAACTTCCTAACTATAAATACACGTTGATGGGGTCCGAACTGGTGGAGACTGACCAAGAGAGAGATCTTGGAGTCATGGTAGATAACTCACTGAAAATGTCGAGGCAGTGTGCGACTGCAATAAAAAAAGGCCAACGCTTTGCCAGGGATTATTAGGAAGGCAATTGAAAACAAATCAGCCAGTATCATAATGCCCCTATATAAATCGATGGTGTGACCTCATTTGAAGTACTGTGTACAGTTCTGGTCACCACCCCTCCAAAAGGATATTATAGCATTGGAAGAAGTGCAGAAAAGGGTAACTGGAATGATAAAAGGGTTAGAACAACTTCTCTATGAAGAAAGGTGAAAAGGTTGGAGAAATGAGGGGTGACATAATGGTAGAGTTTTACAGAATTATACATGGAATAGAGATGGTAGAGAAAGAAGTACTTTTCTCCCCTTTTCACAATACAAGAAATGTTGGGAACTCTAAGAAATTAATGAGCAGTACTTAGAACAGATAAAAGGAAGTCCTTCTTCACCCAAAGAGTAATTAACATGCAATTCACTGACCTAAGAAGTGGTGGCAGATACAAGCATGGACAGCTTCAAGAGGGAATTGGATAAGCATATGGAGCAGAGGTCCATCAGTGGCTATTAGCCACAAGGTCTAGATAGGAACTCTCGGTCTGGGGCAAGTGATGCTCTGTCTTCTTGGTGCTTGGAGGAGGCAAAAGTGGGAGGGCTTCTGGAGTTCTGGCTCCACCGGTGGATCTCCTGATGGCACCTGGTATTTCTGGCCACTGTGTGACACAAAGTGTTGGACTGGATGGGCCATTGGCCTGATCCAACATGGCTTCTCTTACATTCTTATGTTCCTTCCACCAGATTATTTTTTTAACATTGTCATAAAGGAAAAGCCAGTTTATATGCTAGGCTTTTCCTGGGTTTTTGTTTTGAGATTTAACTGTCCCGGTGACAGTCCAGAGTCCTGCCTGCTTATTCAGAGCTGTTGGTGTAGTGTATTCCAAAGCTGCCATGGAATGCATGATGTATGTGAAACATCTCATTGACTTGTAATGTTAAGCTTCGTCCTGGGCTAGGATCCAGATACATCCAATCGTGTTACTAGCCCAGGAAGCACCTAACCAATCACATTCAAGCAAGCTCCCTGAGCGGGAACATCCGTGATTGGTCCTTATGCGAACAACCTTATTGGTTGGTATTTGTACAGTGGGTGTGGCTACATTAGCCGGGAATGTTTAAAAGCAGGACAGCTGCAATGTAAAGGCTGTTCTGGCTATCAGATGTTGATCCGTGTTGGAGTTGTGTTCGAGTTGAAGAATAAAACTGTGTTCTTGCTGAATCACTCTCCGACTTCTCTGTTAAGTGAGCGACTTAACAGTTGGGTATTGCCCAGTGAAATTCTTTACGTTTCTCCTCTGAACATCAAATAGCTACAGCAGACTGCTTATAAGTCTTGGCTCAGTTTCCGTTTATGCCTTTTGCAGCACAAACAAATGGAAGGCTGGGGGCGCCTTAAAGACGTAACATTTTATTCCGGCAGAAGATCTCACAGACTAGAGCCTGTTTTCTTATTGATTTATTTACTTCATTTGTTCCATCTTTCTCCCCAAGGGGAGAAAGTATCTTATGTCGCTCTCCTCTCCCCCATTTTTATCCTCACAGCAATCCTGTGAAGTCATGCTGAGGGTCTGTGACTGGCCCCAGGCCTCCCAGCAAGCTTCCCTGGCAGATCTGAACATGGAGCCTCTCCTCGTCCGGCACTCTCACCACCACTACACCCTTTCATTAATTTGTACCCCGCCTCTCTCCTCAATGGAGACACAAAGCGGCTTGCATCCTTCTCTTCTCCTCCACTTTATCCTCGCAGCGGCCCTGCAAGGGAGGTTCAGCCGAGAGAGTGACTGGCCCCAGGTCACCCAGTGAGATTCCGTGGCACGAGTGGAGATTTGAACCTGGAGTCTCTCAGATCCTTGTCCAGTGCTCTTACCACTACACTCTACTGGGCTCTTTTCATTCTCCCGATGCAATGAGTCGATCCGTTCTATGCAGGAGGTATTTTAGAAAAAACACCAAACAGCAGGGTCCATGTATTCACCATGTATTTCCAGAATAGCATCTCCCTTGACTTAGTGGTTTGTTTTTATTCATACCTGCCTAGTGAGGATCTACTTGTTGCATCAGTCCACAAGACCTTCTTGGTAGGAGAAAACTCTGTTAGCCTTTACCACAAAGCTAATCTTTGGTTTTGCTGCAAAAGACGTGCACAAAAGGGTGTGACTCTGCTTAGGGCTGTGCTGATAGTAATGTAACTTTTTTTGAGAATTGTTTGTGTCTAGGAAGATTATTCCAGAGTTTGGGCTCCACACAGAAAAGGCTTTTTCCAGTGGAGGGAATGTGAATCTATATGTACTTTCTACTATGCTTCAACTTTCTCTGTGGCTGAGAACAATAGGGTGAAGATTTTATTTTGTTATAAATATTTTTAAAGCCCTGCTAACTAGATGTCTATACCCCCCACCCCCAAATTTTACTGATTGTTACTACGATTTACTATATAACATGGGCCCCCAACATTTTGGAGCCTGAGGACACCTCTTGAATTCTGACACAGGACAGCGGGTGCAAGCACAAAAGGGCTGCCGCAGACAGCCAAGCCAGCCACCGGCCGTGCCTGAAAAAGCCTGCCCTGGAGCCAGGGGACCTCAGTCATAACCAGCCAGTCTCAAATGTTCCATTCTTGAGCAAGATGACTGAGCGGGTGGTGCCTGGACAACTTGAAGCTTTCCTGGAGGAACCTCCCTTCCGTCCTGGGCTTAGGCCTGGTTATGGGCCTGGGAAACGGACAGAGGGCATGGGACTGTGCTGCTTCTGGACCTCTCAACGGGTTTCAGTACTATCCATCATGGTATTCTTCTGGATTGGCTTTCTGGGCTAGGATTGGGAGGCACCATTCTGCAGTAGATCTGGTCCTACCTGGAGGGTTGGTTTCAGAAGGTGGTGCTGCCTGGGAGACGGCTGCTCAGCCTCTTGGCCTCTGCCCTGTGGGCTCTCACAAGGCTTCGTCTCCGATTTAACATCCACGTGAAACCGTTAGGTGAGGTCATCTGGAGATTTGGTCTGGACTGTCATCACTATGCAGATGAAACTTTGTTCTATCTCACTGAAATGTACTGGGTTCAAGACGCGTAGTCGAATGATTTCAGCTCATGATTTAATAGTAGGCAAAAACTGAGACAACCAGCGGGGCCCGGGGCCCTGCTTAAATGTTGATACAAGCCACACCCAACAACACACCCCAAGCCCGTGATTGGTTTATTTACAGTGCCCTCTTAACCATAGGTCCCTTCTTGGATCTGTACGGACTGACTGGCCTGTTCTTGGTTCCTCTGTGTCTATTGTTCTGGTCGTGAAGCTTTGCTAGTTCGCTTGACCACGTGCGAGCCCGACCACGTGCGTGGTCCCTTTGTTAGTACATAATACTCACCCTTCCAGCTGATCCCAGGAAAGCTGCAGAAACCCCGATATGGTTCCTGGAGGCTGTTTTGGGTGGATGCAGTCTAATAAACTGAAGCTTAATCCTGACAAGACAGGAGGTCTGACCCAGGATTTAAGGTGTCACCCGTTCTGGATGGGGCTTCACTCCCTTTGAAGGAACAGGTCTGTAGTCGGGGGTGCTCCTGGACCCAGGCTCTGTGCTGGATAAGTGGGTGGCAGGGGTGGCCAGGTGTGCCTTTGACCAGCTTCAACTGGGTAACCAACTGCGGCCTCTCCTGAACAGGAAAGATCTGGCCATTGTGGTGCATGCCCTGGTTGTGGGAGGGGCTGTGGCTCAGTGGCAGAGCATCTGCTTGGCATGCAGAAGATCCCAGGTTTGATCCCCCAAGCCTCCAGCTAAAAGGACCAGGCAGTAGGTGATAAGAAAGACCCCTGCCTGAGACACTGTAGAGCAGCTTCCAGTCTGAGTAGACAATACTGTCCTTGATGGACCAAGGATCTGATTCAGTATAAGGCAGATTCATATATTCATCCATCTAGATTAGATTACTGTATATAGGCTGCGGTCACGCACACTAAATAATCCACTTTCAACCCACTTTCAATGCACTTTCCAACTGGATTCTGCCAGTTCACACAGTAAAAATCCAGTTTAAAAGTGGATTGGAAGTGGATTATTTAGTGTGTGTGACTTTGTGGGGCTGCCCTTGAGAGCTGTCCGGAAACTTCAAGTGGTTCAGAATGCTGCAGCCAGGGTGTTGACTGGAATGGGTCACTCCAGTCTTGGCCCATCTACACTAGCTTTCGATCTGGGTACAATTCAAGGTGCTGGTGTTGACCTTTAATGCACTATGGTTTTAGGCTCATATGCATGAAGGAACGCCTACTCCTTTATGAACCTACCTAATCACTACGGGACTCTTCGGAGGTCCCGCTCCGGGTGCCTCTCCGCCTTCTGCGATCAGGCGGGTGGCAACCTGGGGAGGTTCTTCTGTCCCCTTCCGCTGCCCTCTTCCCCCAGCCGGTGAAGACTTTTGTTTCTTTTTGGTGTTCCCTCAGTGACCCCTCCTTCCTGACCAGTGTTTGAACTGCTGTTTATAGGTCTTTGTATACATTTTAACTCTGTATTTATTTTGTTTTCATGATGTGTGTTTGGGATTGATTTTTATGGTCTTAAAATGTGATTATATCATGTATGTTTTAACTTATTAGTGGTGTTGGTGGCCTTTGTGAAGGAAGAAAGGTGGACATAAATTTTGTAAATAAATAATAAATATATTTTCTCTGTAGACTCAGCTCCAGGACTTTGACACCCAAATAAATTGGTTTGTAACTGAAACAAAGGCAGTAGAAAGGCAAATTTGTCACCAAGAAGAAGCTATAACAGCTACAGACAACCACTGTGAAGCACTGCAAATGCAGATCGCAACTCTGTATGCTGAAAACTTAAGGCTGACGTTTGACATAGAAGCATTGCAAGAAGAGTTCAAAATGCTGCTGCTAAGAAACGAGGCCTACAGTGAGAACATCAGAGCTCACAAATGCCGATTTGAGGAGGCAGAAAGCAAATGGCCACTTATGGTTGAGGTTGCTAACAAAAGAGCTGCAGTCAAAGACCTGATTGCCAGGAAGGAGGAATTAATGTCTGCTTTGCAGAATCCTGAAGGAAATGCTGCTAACTCAGTCCGGGTACAGTGAGTTTGCCTTTACAGCTGTTTTATCCATTGTGCAAAGAGCTATTTGTTGTCCCAGAGCATCCTCATTTGAAGACAAGAAGGACAGCTGAAATGGTGTCTGATTACAGGAAGAATGTGTGTGAACCACTCTGAACACAGATTCAGGTGGGGCCGCCATGTTGGTCTGAAGCAACAGAACAAAGTTTGAGTCCAGGGGCACCCTTAAGACAAACAAAGTTTTATTCTGGGTATATGCTTATACCCAGAATTAAACTTTGTTGGTCTTAAAGGTGCCACTGGACTCAGACTTGGTTCATTTTTAACCCAGCCAGTGCAGTCCTAAATAGTGGTACAGCCCATTGGGCTAGATCCAGCGATGCATGAGGGGCAGGACCAGCTTCAGATTTTGGGGGGCCCTGGGGCAGAAAGTGCTCAGGGGGCCCCCTTCCCACCCGCTCACCCCTGTGTGTTGTCTCCCTACCTGTCTGTGCCTCCCTCCTTGTCTTCTTGGAGGCCTCTTGGTTGGAGCCACTCCAACCTCATCTGCAGAAGGGGTTCAAGCAGAACCCCTTCACTTCAGGGACTGGTAAGTTGGGAGCCACTGCAGCCACATCCATACCTCTCCACTCAGCCTGCAGCTCCAGCGATGCTGTCCTGGACAGCCACAGGGATCAGCATTTGCATGTGAAGGGGTGGTTGGGTGGAGACAGTCTTCTGTTGGGGCACTGCACTGCTGGCACTCTAGTTTGCCCATGTGGGTTTTTGTCTGCACACACACACACACCCAGCCCAGGGGGCCTTGCAGTGAGGCCACACCAAATTGTCCTTTATAAAGTTTATATCTCTGGAGATGCGGTGGCTCAAGTGGTTAAGACGCTGAATTGCAGGCTGTGGAAGGTCGGCAGTTCAGCAGTTCGAGACCCCCGAGTGTGCCGCATGACGGAGTGAGCTCCCGTCTCTAGTTCCAGCTCCTGCCAACCTAGCAGTTCGAAAGCAAGAAATTGCAAGTAGATAAATAGGTACAACTTCAGTGGGACGGTAACAGCATTCTGTGCGCCTTGGTGTTTAGTCATGCCGGCCACAGAAATGTCTTCGGACAGCGCTGGCTCTTCGGCTTTGAAACGGAGATGAGCACTGCAACCCTAGAGTCGGATTCAACTGGCTTTTGAGCAAGGGAACCTTTTCCTTTACTTTTACCTGGCATTACGTTTTAGGGCACACATGGCCCGGCCCAATAAATCACCTTGCCCAACAGTGGCATTGATGTCAGATCTGGCCCTCATAGTAAATGGGTTTGACACCTCTGATCTATACAGTGCTAGGTAGCTTTGCCCTGAGCATCAAGTCTGGTCACGTTCTTCAATCTTCTTGCCTGCCTGAAAGCTCACAAGGCTTGGTGCTGCCACCAGCCCCAGTGGGTGACAGAAAGCAGGGCTTGCTTGTGGCTTTCCTTTCTGCCTTCCTGGCCTCCTGAGCCCTCCAAAGTATGGGGGACTCCCTTGCTGCTGCCCTGAACACTCAGATTCTCGCTATGGCTCCTCCTCTGATGAGCCCCCTGGGATCCCAGATCAGAGAATTCCTGCCTGGGCAGTGATGTATTCTGAGGCACCAAAGTGAGTTGGTCTGTTAAAGTGGTCCATCTCCGCCCCCCCTCTGGAAGAACTACAAAGATCTCTGGGTCGGATTGGGAGCTCACTTAATAAGAGTAGTCGCAGCAAGTGCCTGCCCAGTCAGGAGTCCTCTGCCACCTGTCTTCTTGCCCAGCAGTGATTAGCACTAGCAGCCCCTCCGCAAGGTGAGGGTGGGCGAGGAGGTGCCAGCGGTTCCCAGCCACATTTATTGACTTGCACAAAGTGATTCTCAGGTGTGTTCTTCAGCAGAAATTGAAGGCCATAATAAGAAACCAGAGCCGTGTTCATTTCAGTATGCTTTTCCTTATTGGTTTCATACACAGAGCCTGTATCATTCTTTCCTGAATTTGACTTACCAATAAAAGAATTGTATGAGAACCCTGGGTGCTAAATGGTGACAGCAGGATTGACGGAATGAAATTAAAACCTCCTGTGGAACTTCAGGATCAGGGCTGTTTTGGGGATGGGAGCAGCGGGATTGTGATGTGGGGCTGAATACTGGAGGTTCTTTTTCGAAAGCATGTTTGGTGACAGGCCCTCAGCAAAGACTGGCACAATTGGGCATGACGAGCTTTGGGAGTTAATCAAACAGATCTTTTTGTAGGCTTGAAAGGCCAAAACGTGGCATTGCCATGATGCCATGCAAATGTCAGAGTTGCTTGTATTTGCCTTGAGGCCACCGGGCAGCTGGAGAACTTTCTTTGGTCCTGTTGGGGCCACTCTCACTCCAAGACCAAATAATTCTGGAATGGGGCCCCCCAGGAAAGACGATATAGGCCAACGGCAAAGGGTACTCGATGGGTGGGCAACCCCTCCTAGAGCATTGCGATAATGGCAGCTATATTAGGGGAGCAGAGGCTCTACCGTTGGGACAGGAACAGAGGGGACTTGGCCCCCATGCTGTTCTTGAGGCTCCCTTGATCCTCAGGAGCAGAATTTGGATGGGGGGGCTCAGTAGGCTCCAGAAGAGAGGGGGAGGCAAGGAATTCCTATGTGGGCCTTCCTCAGCTGGTGGTTTGGAGGCTACTTGTGCTAGGTTTGGCTGCAGGTGAAATTTCAGGAAAATGGCAGGGGGGAACGCTGCCAAAGCCTGAGGGGTGTGTCTGATCGCAATCCCCCTTTCATGGATTGAGTCCATGTATGCTGAAAAGGGCCCGCATACTTTTGTTTTTTCATTCAATGAGCTTTTGGTAACTGCCAGTCATTTTCCATATTAGCATCTTGTAACTGTGAACAAAGAAAGGGGGAAAATCTGATTTTTTGGGGGGTATAAATAAATGTATTCAAAAATAATTCTTGTGTCAGAAGTCCATACCTGTACTTCTTTTCATCAGTAAAATGCAAATAAAATGGCTAATAGACAAACTTTCCCCTGCTCTGCAGCCTCAGGTGAATGTTGGGTCAGGTTTCCATCTGCCTGCTTGTGGCAGGAGACCTCCAAGGTAGTTGGGGCCCTTGCCCATCAGTGCTCATCTGACCAGTGGGCAGAAATTGGGGCTGGTTGCGTGTGTGTGGTCATCCTAAGGAGAAAAATTAAAAAGAAAAATAAGGCCTTGTCTACTTACAGGAAGTTCAGACCATAGAGCTCCTGGCAATCCCTAGAGCTACCCAGAGGTGACAAAGGGTAGCCCTAGGAATTGTCGGAAACTCCATGGTTAGAAATTCCTGTAAGTAGATAAAGCCTTATTTTTCTTTTTAATTTTTCTCCCAGGACACTGCCCCCCCACCCTCCCGCTTGTTGATAGGCTCTCCTTGGCAGCCTTAGTGCTGGAGGATACCATCTTCTGAAACTGCCACAGATATGGTCTGCTTCTGAGCAGGTAGGCCGATAGAGAAATCAGATGTTTTTAGAGGTTCTATCACTGGTAGGGGTGTCATATCATGTTTATCATAGCCAGAAATAGGTTTCTTTTCAGGGCTGTGTATTGATGGTGATGATGAACAGAAACTAAATTTTCTTCTTCTCTTTTTAAAATAACTGAAGTGGTGTGTTTGGCCATCCCTGAACCCTCCCCAAGTAAAGGAGACGATCAGCAAAAAAAAATATTGCTAACAGGAAAATCATTCTTATTGTCTGCTATTCCCTCTCTTGCATATAGGATGAAATTGCATGTTTAGAAAGTGAAATTAATGTATTGAAAGAAGCTGTCAGTCAAAAGCAAAATACACTCCAAGTTGAAAAAAATATTCAAGCTAGGCTACGAAAGGAAATTGAGGTGAGTTTTTGAATTACCTATATCTGTGATTTGAATTACCTATATCTATGATTGTACCCGCCAAAATCTTCAGAACTGACACAGTACTGTTATGACCTGGACCTTGCTTATAACTCAGTAAGCATATCACTGCGAAAGAGAGAGTTGTTGAGAATAACTTGCCCATGAATCTGACAAGTTCCAGCCTGCTGACTAGAAAGTGCATCTCAGCCTGGTGTGGCTCATGCCGCGTAGAAATTGGACTGTTCGTTATAAACACTGATCTCTGCATAATTCCAATAAGCTAAACACAAATCTTAATTGGAGGAGTTCACTATCCCACAAACTGAAATATGTGAAAACTGAGGTCACCACTGAGCAATCCAAAATAGTCGCATTTTCATTCTCTCATTTCTCATTTAACTGGAAGCTTTTAGTCACACCTCTGTTTTTTATTGGCATAGAGAGCCTTTACAGGGCTGGAAAAAACAATCAGATTTCCTAGGCCCCAGAAACAATTACTGAAGTGGTAGCATGGGGTATGGTGCTGGAGAAGACTCTTGTGAGTCCCTTGGACTGCAAGAAGTTAAAATCAGTCAATCCTAAAAGAAATCAACCCTGACTGTTCCCTGGAAGGACTCGACTGTGCGACTAAACAACAACAACAACAACAACAACAACAAAAAGCTTGGGGTAATACCCACTAACCCACTGGCATCTGGCTGCCTCCCCTGATGGACACCAGGGGCCTTCCCTCTATTCTGATTCTCTCTATCCCGCTAGAACACCCAGCTCCTGGAGAGGAAATGGTGTCAGAATCCTGGTTAAATCAGTTCTCAACACCACTCACTTCGAAGAAAGTTTGGTTTATTGAGACTTTGAAGAATACCATACTGAACACGAGCTTTGTTAGGACTGAAGGTGAAAGCGCAGGGATTGCAGATATATTGGGTTCAAGCAAAGGCACCCAATCACCCCATGGCATTTGCCTGCCAGAAACAACGGTCAGCTAACCCCCCCCCCCACTAAGCACGTACCCCTCTACAGAAATAAGGCAAAACAACAGGTCTCTGGGACACATCAAAGCCTTTAGGAAAACAAAAGCATTTGGTTTCACACCCCTCCCCCCCTCCTCTATGGCAGGCAAACTATAAAATGCATACTCAGCCTGACAAATGGCTGATTTGCGCAGTTGTCCGCATGACAAACATGATGCCTTAATGAATCACAGGAGCTGTGAGAGATGATCTGATGATCCACAGGTATTGCAACCAATGGCAAAGAGATTTCATTTCCCTGCATAGGGACTGTATAGAAAAATTGCTTTCTGCTTTCTATATCCACATGCCTTCTCCAGTGATGTCTTTTGATAACATGCTGTGTCTTGTTTCCTGTTGCAAGCCAAATGGTGGGGGCCACATGGCCTCAATAGCCATGCCATAAACCCACATTCTTTCACACTTTCATGTCAAACGCCAGACCTCATGGCTCCACTTTCTGGCCCACATGCGACTAGTCACGTAGACCATGAAGTAGCTGGAGTTTGGGTCAGCTGACTGCAGGCAGGGTCTCCAAACTTCCAGCCAATCCACAAACCTGATGTTAGCAACCATGGCAACCAACAGTTGGGCGCACCCATGCCCACTCGCAATTGGCTGATAGCCACATCTAATTTGTGACTGGAATTAGGGTATAATTGTCTTGATCCCTATGGGAGTGAGCTGCCTTGCTTAGCTCTCCTTTCCTCCTCTGTCAGTTTGTTTTATTGCACCTGAAATGCTGCCTCTTGAGAGACAGAGTTGCTTTGTGACTTGGAGCACATAGTATGCAAAAATGGGATTTCCCTTCAAAATCCCTTGGTACTGGGACTATCATGGACTGAGGAATCCTCCTGATGTGATAACTATGAATCATTAATGTTTGGTTAAGGCAAACAGCCCTAGCCTTTGTTATTTTTGTAATCTCTGGTAGTCTATGCTAAGCTTTGTACAGGGACTGCAGGGAAATGCCAAAAAGTCAGGGTGGGTGACCGGTTTTCTCCGTCTTCTCAAGAGCCCACTACCGGATGTCTGCTGCTTTGTTTGATTTTCAGATCAGTGTGTAGAGGGACTTGCTGTCTGAGGTGCAGATTATGGATGAGAAGTCATTACTGTGCCGGCCATGTCCACCGTTCTCTTGCTGGACTCCCTTTTATCCCACCAGCTAACAGGGATTGGGTGAGAGCACCAGTGGCCCCACACAGCACTGGAGCTCCCATTGTGTCCATTTAAAGACAGCCCTGAAGAATCAGCAATGCCAAATGCCAAGCCCACCAGAATATCTCTACAATTAATGTTGGTATAAAAACTGAAAGAACTGCTGCCTGCATAATATTATGCATTGCTAGTAAACCACACATGTCCATGTGTTGATTCTGTTTTTGTTGCACTTTAAATTTCAGGTGTGTGGCTTTAAGTCGAAGTCTTTAATAACCTATGAAACCCAGAATGCTGCATGTTGTATTTGGCTGTTCTCAGTTATTTTAATCTTACCTTAACAGGTGGAGAATAAAAGGTGTGGCGCTATCCTAAAGCGTTTGCGTTGCCAAGTGAATAAATTGCAGGCCAGCCAAAGGCAGGGCCGTTGGAACGTTTGGCAGATGGAAGGCAGAGTGGCAGAACTGAGGAAGCTCCTTGGAGTGGCTGACTGACTCCTGGCTTTGCTTTGGCTTGTTTTGGCTTCTTGTTTTTTATTGCTTTTTCTGTCTCCTGTGTGGTAAAATTCCATCTAGCGCCCCCCCCCCCCATCCTTTCAAAAATGCACATCTTGCCAACATAGTGGGAAATAGAAATGTATTTGTATTTAGCCATAAGTCATTACAAACTGCCAACATGGTGAGTCACTCTGTGGTGTGTGAAAGCTTATCTCTTGACTGGCTGTTCTTGTGGCATTCTGTTGCGGCAGTGGCTTTTAGGCCTCACAAATGTGGCTGCAGAAGTTAAACCACCAAGGAGGATTGATTCTGCACTAATCTTATCACAAATGAAACCAGTCTGAAGGTCAGAAGGCATCTTGTCAAGGTAACCGTGGCTGCCGGGGGCCCTCTTTGGGCTGGGGGGCCACCCTTTTGTGTATTGAGCCTACCACCCCACTCTGGCCCCTATACTCTGGTTAGCCTTGGAAGGGGAAAAGAGAGGGGGTGATTTCTATACGTAAAACTGTGCAGGGATGGATGAATTAACCCCCTCCCCCTCCACCTGGCCCTGAAGGTTAGCATTTCAAGACACACGGGAGACCCCTCATTTCCCCCCTCACCTAGTTGGATACTGAATCAGGAAACACAGCAAAGCACAGCTGCCTGGCTCAAGGGCATACGCCTGCAGCTGGATGGGGTGGGGGGGGTGTTTTCGAGCCACAGTTGAGAGGGAAGCGGGGCTTTCCCCTGCAGAACTGCTTCCTCCTGGGGGAAGAAGGGGCCACTGGCATTTGGTGCCACCCCTTTGTGCGGAAGCAGAATGAGGCGGGGGGGGGACCTTGCGGGTCAGCGTAGTCAGGGCTGGGAGTTCCAGACATGCAGCCCCCCCCCCCCCGGCTGGATGGATGAGGAAGTCGGATGGACGATGAAGGACCTTCCTTCTGTGGGCGATGTCGGCAGGCTCAGCCGGTCCACCCCGTGCTCCTCACATGCCCACCTGTGGCGGAAGGAATCCTGGGCCCAGCATGACAGAGATCTTTTGAGAGGTGCCCCTTGGCATCACTGCGGGGGCAGGAATTTAACTAAGTGCCCAGGCATCTCAAGCAAATCTCGTAGGTGCTCTAGAAATGCGTATTTTGTTCTCATTCTGCTCGTGACTGACTAGGAAGCTGGCCCAGTGCTCAGGCAGAGGGGCCAGGGCTGAGGGCAGCGTCTGCAGAGGAGGACAACCGTTTCCTGTGAGTTGTGATGGAATCTGGCTAGGCCAAGAAACACCTCACCTTAATTCACCGCTCCCTTTGCCAAATAAACCCTCAAATAATCTCAGGGTTTTCTCCCTACAGAAGGAGATAAATGACTATTTCAGTGTTGTTCTTTAACTGCAGGTTTTTATTTCTTCTAGAATATATTTTCAATTGAAAAAATGCACTGAGACTGTTTGAGCAGCGTGTGCTTAATTTCTCCTGGCGTGTTTTCCTGTGACTTTTTCCAGAAGAGGGTAACAATAGACTCTTAAAGACAGTGTTTTAAGTCATAACATTGTTACAGCGTAATTAAAAGAGATGATAAGCACTAAATGAACCTGAACAGCAACATCCTGTTCAAACGTGGGTGGGGGGTGGGGGGTGGTGGAGATTAACGGGCTCTTGCTCTGCTCTAATTATCGTGTTGTTCGTGTGACTCTGTTCACAAATATATCTTGTCTTTTTGTTCCTGTGCTTCAGCCTTCACAGTCTGTAATTGAATACTTGTTAAGAAAATAATTGTTTTATTTTATAAATCATTGATTTAGGCAACTAGGATTGTTTTTAATGTAACAGTCCAGTTTTTCTTTATAATTATTATGTGCATCATTTTATATTTAATAAAATGCCTAAAGATGGTTGAAGGGAGGCAGCGAACGTTAATGACTGTCACAATCATAATCTGCAAAAACTCAGAAGTACCCCATCAGGAATGGCCGCCAGGAGTTCACCGCGGGGCAGCCCGGGGGGGGGGTGCCCTCTCCACCACCCCCTGGCCAGAGTGACACCGGCAGAAGGACCCTTCCTGGGGGCTCTGTCTGCCTTCAGTGCTAGAAGGGCCCTGGCACAGATGCACAAGTGCCACCCCTGGCATTTCTACTTTAAAAGGCCCCAAGAAGCAGCAGGAAAGATCTTGTTTTGACTGAGGCCCTGGAGGGCCATGGCCAACCCAAGCCAACAGTGGCAAGCTTGCCTGACAGTCTTGGAGCAGCAGCAGCAGCCACCCCTGGAACCAGTGCTGCCTCTAAGCTGTGGGGTCTTGTGAACAAAAATTCTACTGTGTGAGCTACTGGCAAATTGGCGACTGCATAAATCCTTCCTGAGCTAAGACAAAAATGTGTGAGCCAAAGGCTGAAAAACTGTGAGCTAGCTCACCCTAACTCAGCTTAGAGGGAACCCTGCCTGGAACCCAACTTCTTACTTGATGCCATTCCATGTTTCTGCTCTCCCTTTTCATCGGGGTGTGTGTGTGTGCAGGGCCAGCTCTTCCACTAAGCCAACTAGTGCAATGGCCTAGGGCGCAGATCTCCGAGGAGCGCAGTGAGACCCCTGCCGCCCGCCCGCCCGCAGCATGACTTTCTGGGTGCCCGTGGAGGGAGGAAGCGCCACACTTCTGGTGAGCGGGACTGGTGGTGGGTTCAGGCAGCTTCCCTTCTTTGCGGCTGCAGTCCCTTCCAGGCCTGGATTCTGAGCCTCTCTTTGCGGCGCGAGCCCCACAGCGCTGGCTCCATCCCTTCACTGCAGCTGGTGCCCCTCGACTCATGGCAGGGAGAGATGGGAGGAAGAGGAGGCGGTGACAGGGTCTGCATGCTCTCACTGGGCGGGTGTGTTGCGAACTCAGTTTTTTGGCGGCGGGGGTGTGTGCTGCAGGCGGGCGGGCGGGCATCGTCTGGCCCTTGTTGGCGACCATGAACGCAAGGAGGGTGGCCGGCATCTCCACGTAGTTGGAGGAAGCCAGCTCAACAGGCGGTGGTAGGGCTCCTGCTCCCCCAGGAGCGACGTGAACTTCACTGGGGGGGTTGGTGGTGGGAGGGAGGGAGGGATGGTCCCATGCGGCTGCAAGGGCACCTGAAGGGGGTGTGCCAGAAATTGGCGCACGGGTGTGTGTGTACCAGAAGGTGTCTTCGCCTACTGTGCAAAAATACCTGGGGCTGGCCCTGGGGGGTGTCTTATCGTGCTACTACTAGGGTTCCAGGTCCCCTGACCAGCAGCAGGGGATGACGGGGGGGGGGGTAGGGTTACTAGATCCAGGTTGGGAAACTCCTGGAGATTTGAGGATGGAGCCTGGGAGGACAGGATCTCAGTGGGGTGCAATGCCCTTGAGTCCACCCTCCAAAGCAGACATTTCCTCCAGAGGAACTGACCTCTGTAGTCCAGAGACGAGCTGTAATCCCTGGGGAATCCCCGGGTCCCACCTGGAGGCTGGCATCTCTAGCTACCACTTAGGATACTGAATATTTGCGAAAATGGGCCACAAAAAACACTTTGTTGAATGCCATGTTGCTTATCTTGCATTACTCAGTTCACAGACACCCCCCCGAGCTGTAGTTCTAAATCCTTTTATTAGAATCATAGAGTTGGAAGGAACCTCCAGGGCCATCTACTCCAACCCCCTGCACAAGGCAGGAAATTCACAAATACCCCCCCACACACACACACACACAGTGACTGCTGTTCCATGCCCAGAAGATGACAAACAACCTCCAGGATCTCTGGCCAAACTGGCCTGGAGAAAAATTGCTTAATGACCCCAAAGTGGCAATTAGCATTTCCCTGGGCACGTAAGAAAGGGCCACAAGAACTAAGCACTGAGGCAACCCTTCCTGCCCTCCCTCGCATGATTTGCCTAAGTTCATAGAATCAGCAGTGCTGTCAGATGGACATCTAGCCTCTGTTTGAAAACCTCCAAAGAAGGAGAGCCCACCTCACTAAGGAACCACTCTAACTGTCAGGAAGTTCTTCCTAATGTTTAGTCAAAAACTCTTCTGATTTAATTTCAACCCACTGGTTCTGGTCCGACCTTCTGGGGCAACAGAAAACAACTCCACACCATCCTCTATATGACAGCCCTTCAAGTACTTAAAAGTGGTTATCATATCACCTCTCAGTCGTCTCCTCTCCAGGCTAAACATACCCAGCTCCTTCAACCTTTCCTCATAGGACTTGGTCTCCAGACTGCTCACCATCTTCATTGCCCTCCTCTGGACACGTTCCAGCTTGTCTATATTCTTCTTAAATTGTGGTGCCCAAAACTGAATACACTAGGCACGTCCTACTTATGACCCCAAACATCTTGCAGATTCTGTAGAAAGCCTTGAATGTCTCATCCTGGACTTCCAGTTTATGAAGCAGCAATGGCAGATGCTCTCCCTGGACTGTGGGAGGGCGAATTGCACACCAGCAGCCTGGAGGGGTGCCACCTCAAGTGACACCCTTGCGGAGCCTTTGCGATAGGCTCCAGGCCAGAGGGCTTTTGAAGGGTAGCCTCTTCGATGGCGTAATGCCAGAGAATTGAGGCTCCCCTCTGCCCTGACAGTCCCGTCACTGTGTGGCCTTCAGGCACAAGCTGGTTTGACCGTGACAAGCGCCAGAGATTGAGCGGAATATCATTAAAATGCAGCATGGTCAGAGAAACTGACTAACAATGAACGTGAGTTCTGAATAAAATGGACTATTAAAAATGCGGATCCCCCCCCCCGTGTGGGGGAAAATGGACACAAAGAGGGACGCCTCTTATGCGAAGTAACCGATAAACGACGCGAAGGGGGAGAGGGGAGGAAAGCAGCGTGTGTGTTGTGAGAAACTTACTTACAGCGGGAGGGCGGCTGTCACCGGCACCGACGCCGAGGTCTCCGGGGGATCTTCCCCGTGATCTGAGTCTCCCGGCTCAGATCCATGTGGAGATTTCTCCAGGTCAGGTTTCTCCTCACTTCCGCTCATATCGTGGTTGATAGAGGCTTCAGGATGGAGAAAGAGTGATTCTGAACAGTA